TCCAATTCAGTTGGCCAACACAATTAGTGATCGAGCTGTCAGCATGCTGATCACTGTGTGGATGCGTGCCTGTCATGCATGCTTCCCAAGGCCCTCTGCCTGGGCTAGTCTGGCGGAGGCGGTGCGTTCATGGAGGCATCGTGAGCAGCTTATTGGTCACTGGGTCAGTTTGATCACCGGGCTGACGGGCCAGCTGTGCGCCAATCTCCATTTGGCCGGAGGTCCACAGCAGCAAGCAGCCATGCCATGGAGTCCCTGTCTACCAGGCATGTGATTTGGGTTTAATCTAATTGGAAGAAAATATCAGAGCTTCTTTTTCTTCCTCTGCTTACGACCCATAAAATTATTATGCTCTTATATGATTAGCATAATCAGAACTGAAACTCATTCTTGCAAAAGTCTTTAGGTTACCATTAAGTCGAGAAAATTGCCCGTCTCCTACATGACATATATGCTCTAAAGATAAAATCTTTTAGCTATTGATGGATATAGAAAGGTTTGGTTAATGTTCTTATCCTCTAGTTTGCCTCTGCTTATGTGTGTTAACGTCTGTATGCACAGTCGACTATAATTAATAATTAGAAAAAAATTGTTGAGTTTACTTTTATTTCGAATGAAATTATTTGGTAAAGAGATTTGAAGGCCAATCTAACTAGAAGACGATAGTGGATTCCTCTTGATTATCTGTCGTCATGCCCTCTTTCTAAAAATATAGGCGAACAAATGAGGAAGGGGGAGGGAAAAAAAAAATTTTTCGAAGAAACCCTAACACTCTTCGGTTATTCTTCTTTTTAGAGAAAAATATGACTTATTATCAGGATCCGGCTGTTATAAGATTGTGTACTCGTGTGATAGACCTTATGTTGGTGAGACTTTTCGGCTTATCTGCCAGAGAGTATCGAAGCACAATAATGCTGGGTTTAATATCTGAAGTGGCGGAGCATAGGGCGAAGACTAGACATTAAGTCGATTTGTCTCAGACGCAGATGTATGTGAATGTCTGCTACGAAACACAAAATAAGAGAGGTCTCGTTTCACTTTGCGCTCATTAAGTCATTTTAAACATATCATATTGTATATTCGTGCGACGTTTACTTGCATTCATGCTACTTTTACCTACAGTTCATCCATTCGTTCGGCAAATTGTCCCGGAAGACATGACTCATGATTGCGTTCGTGAATGCTGGTTCCGCTTTCTTCATATTATAGGAAATCCTGTCGATTTCTGTCATCCCGAGTTGATTTCGGACACGTATATTTTTGATCAATTTCGGTAGGTTATATTTTTATTCTTTTTTTCTTTTTGCCTAGTAAATATAGGTGCGTTTTTATGATATTTATGAATGTTTAGAGGAGCATTTCCATGTGGCCCTTTATTTAAGACAGCGCATAAATCAGCATTCATTTGTCTTCTTTCCATGATGCATTATTATAAGCTCATTAATTCTTTCTATAAAGATTATAATGACCTTTAACAGCTATCCTTGAAGATAGTTCATAGAGCTAAACTTATGGCTTAATATGGTCGCAGCAAAAAAGAGAATGGAGTTGAAAATTTCAGGGAAAATATATTAGTAGAGAAACATGAATCAAAAGCTCCAGATATTGTTCGGATTTTCTTTCATCATCACGAATAAATAAGGAATTTAGCTTCATTTAATCTTAGCTATGAAGACCAAGGTCGTTTGGTCTTTAGTATGTTAGCAGTCTCCTTTCCTCGTATCTAATTGGTTTTCCCTTGTTTTCACAGCTTGATCGTATTGTCAAGGTGACTTGGAGGAACGCACATTGTCTGGAGTACATAGTCTCCTTGATAATTTCCAACATTTGATTGTGGCTTACCAGTCTCAACACTTATCAACAACTTGTCCGATTGATTGTGGTGACTCTTTTTCTTTCCTGGTAGATCTACACACCCCTTCATCTCCGCATCACAAATTTTAACTTATTTACGCTGGACTATTGCGGATGTGCGCTTTAGAGAGGATTGCGTGAGACATCCAGTTAGTTTTTCTCCCTTCATCTGGTGTGCTGGAAATGCTTATCCGACTTAGTATTTATAATAGACTTACTTTTGTACCAGGACTTGCTTTGTCATTATTCTAGTCTAATAGTTCCAATGAATGTATTATGACTAATAATCTGGCCATTTTTGTTACATCTGTCGTC